TACTACTACTTCTACAACTACCTACTACTACTTTTACAACTACCTACTACTACTTTTACAACTACCTACCACTACTACAATCTACTACTTCTACTTCAACTACTTTTTATTATTTCTACTGCTATTTCTACTACTACTTACAACATATTACGATTTCTAGTACTGCATATATATTCAAATATGACCATTACTTCATACAACCGTAGCAGTGACCTAGCTAGGTAGTGTCTAGCCGTCTATCAGTTGCTCGACTAAGCACTCGTAGAAATAATCTTTCTGCTGCCAAATTGGCTTAAAATAAACCTTTACTTTTTGGCGAAAGTGTGCGTGGCACATAGGGCATTAACAAGAAGGCGCGTGCAGCACAGCCGCAAAATGGACAACAACGAAAACAACAAGATGAGCAGCAGCAGCAGGAGTAGCAGGAGTAGCAGCAGCAGCCGCGCCAGCAGTGGCCAAAATTCATAGCCTACTTAGCGGCGCACATTGCGAGTTATTCAAATTTGAATTAGGCAGACGACCAAGAGCGTCAAGCCCCGAGCCCAGCTTCATGAGCGTTTCCGTTTCCGGCAACAGCAACTGCTGCTGCTCTTTTATGACTGTCTTGCCCTCTCTCTCTGTACGTGTTTGTGTGTGTGTGTGCATAATTGTGCTGTGTGAGCGCCCTAGGCACGTGGGCAGCAGCTGTGCGCATTGCTTTTAGCAACAGCAGACGAAGGCGCATAACATGGCATAAGCTCAAGTCGACATGCTACAAGCTCGATGCTACATGCCGTCTGCTACATGTTGCGGTAAACGCGAACCTTAATTAGATCATAGTTGCTGCCACACACACACGCACACACACACACACAGAGAGAGAGCATTTTATTGCCAACTTTGCCACGCATGTCAGCGGCAGCAGCAGCAGCAGCAGCTTCTTTATATGGGGCCAACATGCGGCCGCATGCCACATCAAATTTGCAGCTCAATCAAGTGGTTAAAACTTTGCGCCATTTATGGCTCAAGTGACGCAGCTCCAGCTGCTGCCCCGAACAGCCCGGCCAGCCCCACCAGCCCCACCTTTTGTGGTATTTGCATTTTAATTGAATTGCACTACATTATTTAGCATGGCAGCAATTTCGGGTCTGCCATTTCAACTGTGGCAAAGCCAACAGCTTGCCACACACTCACACGCACACTCACACACACATGCACACGTCTTGTCAGAAAATCCTGCTCTGTCAAAAACTAAGTTCGAAAACTTTCCCTGTTCCGCTCACCCTCTATCGTTCACTCCCTCTCTCTTTCTCTGCCTCTCTCTCTCTCTCTCTCTCTCTCTCTCTCTCTCTGTGCGTATTTCCAGCAATTATCTGGCAAGACTTTCGCAAATACATATATAAACGTATATATCTTTCATGGCCGACACCTAGGCTAATTGCTATGTTGGCTGACAGCAATGAGATACCCTGTAATCACATCTAGGCATCAGCTCTGCAATCGAAACAGACTAAACAGAGAGTTACAGCTGCCGTTCATGTTATACTATATACTTAAGTGTATCTGCACGTATAACACTTACAGTTATTCCACATTTTTAGAGCTCAATTGCATTCTAGCAAATAGGGTATCTTGCAGCCATTTTAATTGAATAATAATAATCTAATAATACATAAATATATATAAAATTCTTAAAATGTTTATCAGTTCGCATAGTCTCAACAATTCTTGAGCTAGTCTAAGCAATCTTTGTACAGGGTATCTGTAAGTGCAGCACACTTTACCAAACTCAATCTCAATTCTTGCTAAGTTTTCCACAAACTTTTTTAAAGTATTTCCCTTCAATATTGATCAGAAAGTAATTCTATGTAGCTGTTTTTAAAACTGTTATACAATTGTCTAACAATATAAGGGAAAACTTTCGATTCAAGTTTGAAGAGTTTTAATTGATTTGTACATATTGATATATGAGTATATTTCAACTTAATGAATATATACACCTAACCAAAATATGGTTTTGTAACTGTTATACAATAGTCTAAAAATGTGTATAACAACTTTGGATTAATGTGGAATAGTTGTAACGAACCTTAATAAAAATTTATTCTTTAACTATTATGCAGTAGTCTAGGGATGTAAGTAAAAACTTTAGATCAAACGGGTATATAACGAATTTTACGGATATATATACACTGTTATACATATGTTATACTATCTAACATAGTCTAAATATACTTAAGTTTAGTGAAAAGAGATTATCCCCAACATACACGACGTATACCAAATACTCTATATATACTAGATATACTAGATATGGTATATAAGCGTATCCTTCCGCCCATTGAGTGTCGAAGCTATTGGCTTATTAAACCAAAGTTTACTGTTGCAAGTGGCCCCATCAGTTGCTGTGGCATTTTAATTGCGGCTCACTCGTCTCTCTGTGGTTGGCCAGGTGGCGAGCAGCAGGAGACGGGAGGCGGGAGAGAGATAGAAAGTAGCTCAAAGGCAAGAGCAGGAGGCTGGCGTAAGGCCATTGACTAGCTCAAGAGCAAAAACTGAGACTAAGACTGGCTCAGGGACAGGAGTGGCGGCAGGAACTGCATCGAGGAAAGGAAACAAAGGCAGGAACTGTATTTGTTGCAGCAGCAGGTGGCAGGGATTATGTGGGAACAGCTCGAGTTGAGGCAAGGACGTGAGCAGACTGCAGCAAGGGCAGGATCTGAAGTAGGGTTTGGCACAGGGCGCGGAGCCAGTAACTGCAGCAGGATGATAAAAGTATGGCAGCTGTGCAAGAGGCAACGGCAGAGACACAGACATGCATGGTCATGCCGCTCAAGCTCTGTTAACAACTATAACAAAAGGCAATTGCAATCATTGTTAAGTCTATTGCAGCAATTGTGGGCGGTGCTGAAGTGAAATTTACAGACGATGACTCTCCCTCTGCACCCTACCTCCCTCACTTCTACTCTCTTTCTTTTGCTGAAATGGGATTACAATTGCGTCGGCAGCAGCTGGTCTCAGGATCCGAGTGACTTTCTCAAGTATTTCTGTGGCAGGCATCGGTTGCCAGAATGTTCAATTAGTGGGCATTAATACGCTCTGCACTTAAACTATGAAATTGTGTGTCGATTCTACAAAGCTGACACGACAGGCCTTACCAGCTGGGAGGACTCCAGTGCGACTCCAAGTCAGTTGAAGAGGCACTTCACTTGTCAAATTGTCTTACTCTATAATAACTATGTGAATGTCTTTAATAATTACGAGATCAGATAAGACAAGCTAACGATGGACAAACAGATAGATGGATGGACGAATAGAGGAACGAAAAAACGGACGAATAGACGAATCAAGCCAGACTGATAGATGTACGGCCGGATAGATAGCCGTATGGATGATCGAACGGATGAACGAACAGACAGACAGATAGACGGACGTACGGAAGAAAGTGTGGACAGACTGAAGAACGTCAGAAAAATGGATGTACGAACGAATGGTCATCTGGAAGTACGAACGGATGAGCTGAGAGACGATGGGATGTTGGACGAATGAATAAACGGATAGACAAACAAAGGGGTTTACATAAGTGTAAACAAACAGGCGAACAATAATTTGCCCATGATTATATTTACTCAATTCGATGTATCGATTATGGTTTCAATTAATCGCAAAGCTTTTCGTGACAAAATTAAATCAATAATGGAAGCAAAATAATCGATTATTGTGTATCATATGATATATAGTACCATCGCTAGTCACTCTTTCACCTCTTAAACAAAAAAAAGGTAACATTGTATTACAATTTCCAAAAGTTAATCAAATAAACTGCAAAGATATATTTCTCAAAAGTCTACAGCTCAAAGCTCTCCCAAGCCCGCGTAGCTCTTTCCACTTATCTCATAAGACCAAAGAAGTATAGCATAACCCGAATTCACATTTATTAAATTCCTATTTGCTTTATTTTAGATGAATTTTGCGAGGAGTATCCGCACAATTTGATGCCCACGCCCGGCTATTGGATCGAGTGCTCGCGCCAGAAGATAACGCTGCCCACACCGCACACAATCTGGGACGAGAGCGACTCGGAGCATGAGGATATACGGGCTGGTAGTGCCAGTGATGCGTACTTGGAGCGCGAGTGCAGTGATCTGTATGAGGACGATGAGGATTCGGAGGCGACGCCAAGTCCCCGGAAGAAGACGACCATCGAGGAGCAATGGGATCAGCAGGGCGCCTTCGAGCTAATCTCTGTGGAGCAGGAGACATATGAGAAATACTTTTATGGCACCGAGCATTGGAATTACTTTACCAGCGATGAGGATCTCGGCCCCGTCATCCTGTCAATCAAACAGGAGACGCTCAACGGACGCGATCAGTTTCGCATTCTGGTGCGCGCTGGCTCCTACACGGTGCATGGACTGATACCGGCCTCATGTGTGTTCGCCGATAGGTAAAGCTCCACAAGGGGAACTAGCCAAAACTGAATAATAATACTTGTTTAACACTCGACAGATATAATCGCGAGGAGGTAGTTAGATCTTTAGGTAAAGAAGTTAATTTAAATCCACCTTTAACATTAGGACAATTACCCGATACGCCCGAGGAGTTACTGAAATTAGATCAGGTGTGTATGAGAAACGCTTATAAGTGTTATATAATAAATATTACTATGTGATATCAACTCCGCTTCTTCGGCAGGTTTTTATAAAATCCGAATTGAAAGTGGGCGTCATATTCGTCAAGGAGGAACAATATACCGAAGAGCAAATTTTGGACAATAATGAAAATTCAGCGCTCTTCGATGAGTTTCTCACGCTGCTCGGCGATCGTGTGCGACTGCGCGGGTTTGATAAATACAAAGGTGGCCTTGATACGGTGCATGACCTAACAGGTGTGTGTTTACCGCCCAGTCTCCCCGCCCCGCCCTCTCTCTCTCTCTCTCTCAGTCTCTCTAACGAATTACTTCTCTATGCACTCAGGTCTATTCTCCGTCTATACGAATTGGCGCAACATTGAGATCATGTTCCACGTGTCCACACTGTTGCCCTATGAGAAACACGATCCACAGAAACTCCAGCGCAAACGTCACATCGGCAATGATATCGTCTGTGTGGTATTCCTCGAGGCCGACAATACGCGCTTCAGTCCCGCCTGCATTAAAAGCCATTTTCTGCACACCTTCATACTGGTAAGTAGACATCTAAGCTGGCTGAGCACTCACAGGGGAAGACGGTGTTGAGAAGTACAGTGTAGAACTATAGCTCTATAGCTCTATATATGTATATAGTGAGAGCTAGTTGGCATATCGAATCTCAGTTTTACTTTTGGTAAGCTTAAGGCCCAATTCAGGATTGAAGATAGAATTTAAATTTTCGGAAATAGAGAGATATCTATAGGAGTCCTTCAGAGAAACTTTAACGAGACTCTACTTCAGACCTTTTCATCCATTCAGCAAAATTATTTGTCTCTAAGAACTTGCTCAGCCGCAAAGCCTTTGAACATGATATATGGTTAAACATGATATATGAAACTGTACATCTTCCACACGCTCTCCCTCTCTCTCTCTCTAACTCTTCCCTCCCCCTCTCTGCCTCTCTTTCAGGTGCGTGTTTCGGCACGCATTAAACACAAGCCGACACGTTATGAGGTATCTGTGGTGACACGCGACGAGGTGGGCGCCTACAAGCCCTACCTGTGGGAGCAGTCGGTCTTTGAGAAGGGCCCCATGTTTCGGTAAGTGATGCCAGCTGCTGTACCACTACAACTGTATCTATATATATATATATATGTATGCTCTGTCTCTCTCTCGCGCTCTCTCTCTCTTCCTGTCCCGCTGTGTGTGTGATTAGGGAATGGCTGCTGACGAAAATCGTGAATGGCGAACGGGCCTCGTATTCGGCGCCAAAGTTTGCCCGCATGCAGGAGCGAACGCGCTCGCAGATGCTGGAGGATCTGGTGATGAATCTGTCGAATCATGCGGAAACTGGGCAAATACCGAAGCCGTATAGGCGCGGCTCCTGGCGGCCAATTGGTGAGGATGAATATTTCAAAATGTTGCATGCCAGGGTATTAGACAACACCATACAGCAACAACAACAACATGAATACCACAACAACTGTTGCTACTGCAACTGCAACGAACAGCTGCCGCAGCAGCAACAGCAGCAGCAGCAACTGGCGCTGGGCCTATTTGTGGCTTTGAGCAACACAACACACACACACCACACTACACACAACAACAGCGCTGAGCAGCAACAACAGCAGCAGCAGCAGCAACAGCAGCAGCAGCAGCAAACAGCAGCAGCAGCAACAACAACTGCAGCAGCAGCAGCAACCTCAGCAACAGCAACAACATTTCGCTGCAATTTGTGCTGTGCCTCTGTGATGCACCTCTGTGCGAGGCATAGTATGTGTATACCCACACACACACACACACACACACCCACACACACACACACTCGCGCACACACACACACACTCGCACACACACGCACACCCTTGCCCAACCCACAAGATAGTTATTTAAATGTTTTACCTATGCAAATGCTGTATGGCCATGGGCGTTTCAGCTTGATGGGCGTGGCAGGCATGCTTTGACAGCTGTTGGCAGCAGCATTTGCGCTTTGTTGACTTCGACTCTGCATGATTAATCGTTTTGCCATGATGTTGTTGTTGTTGTTGTTGTTGTCGGTTTTACTGTTTGCTGTTGCCATTGTTGTTGCAACACTTCCGCATGGCATGCCACGCACACACACACACACACACACACACACGCTTACACTTCCGTTTCCGCCATTAACACATCCGTTACTGTTTGCACTTGCCGCTGTGTGTGTGGCACGCTGTGACAAATCTTACAGCACAATCTGTTTGCTGCCACAGCACAGCACAGCGACTAGAAAACACCCTCAGCTAACACCCCCCGCCCCCTCTCTAACCCCTCTCGACGCCCATGCTGTTTGGCCTGGTTTAGAGCGTATCTCTAGTTGGGCCGGCGTGAAATGTTTTACGCCTTATCGGCTGCGGTCAATCTTGTGCGTCTTAGCACACACCAATACACACACACACACACACACACACACTCACACACACACACACACACACACAC